AAAAAAAAAAAAAAAAAAAAAAAAAAAAAAAAAAAAAAAAAAAAACAAAGCGATAACTCATCAAACCGTGGAGTAATAGAAAGGTCCATTAACAAGGGATGAACTAAGAAAAAGAATCAAAAAGGACGGTGAAAAATGAGAATTAGAGAATTAGGAAATTTATAAAATAGGTGAAAATTATTATAACACATGAGAGGCATAAAAACGAAGCGATTACCCAAAAAACTGTGAAACAATAAGAAGGCATATTAACAAGAGGTGAAATAAGAAAAAGGACGAGAAAAGAATCAAAAAGGACGAGAATTAGAGAATTAGGAAATTTGTGAAATTAATGAAATTTTACAACATAAGAAAAACATCAAGTTGCAACACTGAGATTCTGTCTGCTATGAACGATATTATCAAGGCAAATATATGCCAGAATAGGGGAGTTGGCAATGTGCCAAAAATGAAACACTGATGGACAAAACGGATTAGTGAATGATGTCCAAGCAATATTTAAAAAAAAAAAAAAAAAACACGAAAATGTTGCTCAGACGTTGAGAATCTGTCTGCTATGAACGATATTATCAAGATAAATTTATGCCAAAAGAGCTGGCAATGTGCCAAAAATGAAACATAGATGGATAAAGCGGATTAATGAACAATACCCATGCAATACCTAAATAATAAAAAAAAAAACACGGAAACGTTGCCCAGACGCTGAGATTCTGTCTGCTATGAGCGATATTATCAAGGCAAATTTATATCAGAAGAGTTGGCAACGTGCCAAAAGTGAAGAAAAAGATGAACAAAGCGGATTAATAAATGATATCCACGTAGTACCTGAATAACAAAAAAACACGGGGAAGGTCGCCAGTGTCGTAGAAAGAAAACAGCTATACATAGAATTATGTGAATGAGAGAAGCGTAAAATGAGGGGTGCCGGAAGTTCCAGCAACCCCCTCAATGACCAGAACGGCAAAATAACCGCTGATCAAAGTATCAAAATAATTAACAGCAATAGCAGAACTGACTGCCCCGGTTTTTAAGTAGTCGGCGTGGAAATGCTTATTCTCCTTGATATCACGTACTTCATATACCGCAACTTGCTTCCACACATTACTATGTGCAACTTACGTATATGGCTTGAAGGACCGAAACGTCTTAACTCGAATGTCTTTCCCACAATTTCTTCCCATGTTTTGGTACCCCTCAACATGGATGCTACAAACGGCTTACAGCTATATATTAGCGCCTGAACCACAAGCGGATCCAGGATGGCCTCCTGGTGGGCGGGGAAGAGGAAGGGGAGGGGCTTCTATTGGCAACAAAGAGGGGGGG